TAGTTTAAGAGAAAACTGGTGATAGTTTGAGAGAAAACTGGTGATAGTTTGAGGGAAAACTGGTCATAGTTTGAGAGAAAACTGGTGATAGTTTGAGAGAAAACTGGTCATAGTTTGAGAGAAAACTGGTCATAGTTTGAGCTCACAGGTTGTCACAGGCTCCGTTAAACTTTCAAAAAGTGAGATTGTAGACATGTGCAAGACATTTCCAAATTTGATACGTCAGTGACAAAAATGATATCCGATGCAATTCCCCATTTGGACTTGTACCATACGTTCCCGTGTTTTTGTTTCAGGTGAACAGTTGACATGCCTTTGCATGTGTTTGTAACGGGTGCCACCGGTGGGGCACGATCCATTAGTCCTTTTCGTATCACCTGCTATCATCACTATTTTATAGTGATTCATAAACACAGGCTTATGATATTGTGGGAATCGTACAACAAACTTTTAGTGGAGATTTCTTATGATTATGGAAATGATTTTTGACGCTTTTATTATTATCCCCTTAAACCCGAACGTCAGGCAGGGTAACAGCATGTACCATATTTTAAGGTATTTTTATATGACGTTCCCCAGACGCCCTCAAAGCGCTCTCCAGACGCTCTCTCCATCACACAATGGAGGGGGGCATTAAGGAAGTTGTAAACGTACCTTGTGCATTGCATGTCTTTGTGAATATAGCTTGGGCATTGCATGTCTTTGTAAATATAGCTTGGGCATTGCATGTCTTTGCAAATAACCTTGTATAATTAAGAGTTTCTGCTCCGTCGTTGTCCGAACCGTGTCTGGCCTATGGGTGTCCGAACCAACTGTGTCTGGTCTATGGGTGTTCGAACCATCTGTGTCTGGCCTATGGGTGTCCGAACCATCTGTGTCTTGTCCATGGGTGTCCGAACCATCTGTGTCTGGTCTATTAGTGTCCGAACCAACTGTGTCTGGTCTATTAGTGTCCGAGTCAACTGTGTCTGGTCTATTGGTGTCCGAACCATCTGTGTCTGGCCTATGGGTGTCCGAACCATCTGTGTCTGGCCTATGGGTGTCCGAACCATCTGTGTCTTGTCCATGGGTGTCCGAACCATCTGTGTCTGGTCTATTAGTGTCCGAACCAACTGTGTCTGGTGTATTGGTGTCCGAACGATCTGTGTCAGGTCTATGGGTGTCCGAACCATCTGTGTCTGGTATATTGGTGTCAGAACGATCTATGTCAGGTCTATGGGTGTCCGAACCATCTGTGTCTGGTCTATTGGTGTCCGAACCAACTGTGTCTGGTCTATTGGTGTCCGAACGATCTGTGTCTGGTCTATTGGTGTCCGAACGATCTGTGTCTGGTCTATTGGTGTCCGAACGATCTGTGTCTGGTCTATGGGTGTCCGAACCATCTGTGTCTGGTCTATTGGTGTCCGAACGATCTATGTCAGATTTTTGGGTGTCCGAACGATCTGTGTCTGGTCTATTGGTGTCCGAACGATCTGTGTCTGGTCTATGGGTGTCCGAACCATCTGTGTCTGGTCTATTGGTGTCCGAACGATCTATGTCAGATTTTTGGGTGTCCGAACGATCTGTGTCTGGTCTATTGGTGTCCGAACGATCTGTGTCAGGTCTATGGGTGTCCGAACCATCTGTGTCTGGTCTATTGGTGTCCGAACGATCTGTGTCAGGTCTATGGGTGTCCGAACCATCTGTGTCTGGTATATTGGTGTCAGAACGATCTATGTCAGGTCTATGGGTGTCCGAACGATCTGTGTCTGGTCTATGGGTGTCCGGACGATCTGTGTCTGGTCTATGGGTGTCCGAACCATCTGTGTCTGGTATATTGGTGTCAGAACGATCTATGTCAGGTCTATGGGTGTCCGAACGATCTGTGTCTGGTCTATGGGTGTCCGGACGATCTGTGTCTGGTCTATTGGTGTCCGAACGATCTATGTCAGATTTTTGGGTGTCCGAACGATCTGTGTCAGGTCTATTGGTGTCCGAACGATTTGTGTCAGGTCTATGGGTGTCAGAACGATCTGTGTCTGGTATATTGGTGTCAGAACGATCTGTGTCTGGTCTATGGGTGTCCGAACCATCTGTGTCTGGTCTATTGGTGTCCGAACGATCTGTGTCTGGTCTATTGGTGTCCGAACGATCTGTGTCAGGTCTATGGGTGTCCGAACCATCTGTGTCTGGTATATTGGTGTCAGAACGATCTGTGTCTGGTCTATGGGTGTCCGAACCATCTGTGTCTGGTCTATTGGTGTCCGAACCATCTGTGTCTGGTCTATGGGTGTCCGAACCATCTGTGTCTGGTCTATTGGTGTCCGAACCATCTGTGTCTGGTCTATGGGTGTCCGAACCATCTGTGTCTGGTCTATGGGTGTCCGAACCAACTGTGTCTGGTCTATTGGTGTCCGAACCATCTGTGTCAGGTCTATTGGTGTCCGAACCATCTGTGTCTGGTCTATGGGTGTCCGAACCATCTGTGTCAGGTCTATTGGTGTCCGAACTAACTGTGTCAGGTCTATGGGTGTCCGAACCAACTGTGTCTTGTCTATTGGTGTCAGAACTAAGTGTGTCAGGTCTATGGGTGTCCGAACCAACTGTGTCAGGTCTATTGGTGTCCGAACCAACTGTGTCAGGTCTATGGGTGTCCGAACCAACTGTGTCTGGTCTACTGGTGTCCGAACCAACTGTGTCTGGTCTATGGGTGTCCGAACCATCTGTGTCAGGTCTATGGGTGTCCGAACCAACTGTGCCAGGTCTATGGGTGTCCGAACCATCTGTGTCAGGTCTATTGGTGTCCGAACCAACTGTGTCAGGTCTATGGGTGTCCGAACCAACTGTGTCTTGTCTATTGGTGTCCGAACCAACTGTGTCAGGTCTATGGGTGTCCGAACCAACTGTGCCAGGTCTATGGGTGTCCGAACCATCTGTGTCAGGTCTATTGGTGTCCGAACCATCTGTGTCAGGTCTATTGGTGTCCGAACCATCTGTGTCAGGTCTATTGGTGTCCGAACCATCTGTGTCAGGTCTATGGGTGTCCGAACCAACTGTGTCTTGTCTATTGGTGTCCGAACCAACTGTGTCAGGTCTATGGGTGTCCGAACCAACTGTGCCAGGTCTATGGGTGTCCGAACCATCTGTGTCAGGTCTATTGGTGTCCGAACCATCTGTGTCAGGTCTATTGGTGTCCGAACCATCTGTGTCAGGTCTATGGGTGTCCGAACCAACTGTGTCCGGTCTATGGGTGTCCGAACCATCTGTGTGTCTGGTCTATTGGTGTCAGAACTAAGTGTGTCTGGTCTATTGGTGTCCGAACCAACTGTGTCAGGTCTATGGGTGTCCGAACCAACTGTGTCTGGTCTATTGGTGTCCGAACCAATTGTGTGTCTGGTCTATTGGTGTCCGAACGATCTGTGTCAGGTCTATGGGTGTCCGAACCAACTGTGTCTGGTCTATTGGTGTCCGAACCAACTGTGTCAGGTCTATTGGTGTCCGAACCAATTGTGTGTCTGGTCTATTGGTGTCCGAACGATCTGTGTCAGGTCTATGGGTGTCCGAACCAACTGTGTCTGGTCTATTGGTGTCCGAACCAACTGTGTCAGGTCTATTGGTGTCCGAACCAATTGTGTGTCTGGTCTATTGGTGTCCGAACGATCTGTGTCAGGTCTATGGGTGTCCGAACCAACTGTGTCTGGTCTATTGGTGTCCGAACCATCTGTGTCAGGTCTATAGGTGTCCGAACGATCTATGTCTGGTCTATGGGTGTCCGAACCATCTGTGTCCGGTGTCCGAACCAACTGTGTCTGATCTATTGGTGTCCGAACCAAACGGTGCGTCAAAACGTAGCCATTGTCGATTTGCAATGTTTTAAACGGCATTGTTTTCACATTTGTTCAAAAATTTCATGGAGGATAACAGTAAAGCAAAATGCATGTGCAAATTATGACATTCGTAACTCGTGGTAGTGGCTATAAAAAGGCAAGCATAAGCCAATAATTTGACAATAATTTGTAGCCTTGGAATTTGAGAAACTGGAGATGAGTGTGGTTTAGCGATGAATCACGATTTCTTCTTCACCATAATTTAAGCGGATGAATTACACGCTTCAAAGAAAAAGAAACGCACAGGTAGATTTTTAGTAAATTTATTGTACCGAATAAAATCGATATATTTAAGACGTTGGCGTACACGAATTCATCCCAGAGGTGTTCGATTGGGTTGAGATCTGGAGATCTCGGCGGCCAGGGCAAGACGGTGATGCTGGCATTATGAAGGTAGTCTACCGTCACACGAGCTGTGTGCGATGGAGCGTTGTGCTGTTGGAACCGCTCCCTGTGACGGTCAATGATTGAAAGAAGGTGTTGTTGAAGAATGTAATTCATGTAGCGATTTGCTGTAAAATTTCCCTGAAGCACAAACAAGTCATATCTCGTGGTGTAGGATATGGACGATAAACACGTTTTCTTCCATCTCCCCGTTGAAGAAGAAATCGTGATTCATCGCTAAACCACACTCGTCTCCAGTTTCTAAAATTCCAAGGTTGTGAGGTATGGCACCAACGCAAGCGTCGCTGTCGATGGATCTGCAAAACAGGGACGATAACTGGTCTTCTGGGTCGGATTCCAGTCTCGCGAAGATGGTTCCTGACAGTCTGTTCCGATATCCTCCTCAAACCAGGATTTTTTGTGCAGTCAGGTTCAATGAACAACCCACTACCTGTGCGTTTCTTCTTCTTTTTTGAAGATTGTATATGATATTTACTGTATACGTGTATATGATATTGACTATATGATGTATATGATAGTTACTATATACATGTACATGATATTTACTATTTACATGTATATATTTACAATATACATGTATATGATATTTACTGTATACATGTATATGATAGTTACTTTTCGGAAAGTACTAGCCTAATAAGCTTTATATATCATGCATATGAAAATAAACCTTGGTGATTGGTTAATCATTATGATTTTGTCTTTCACGGCATCTTTCTTTCAGGCAAGATGGACCTCGACAATACAACAAACATCACGTTGAGATCGTCAGAAAGTATTCCCAACATCCGCTTCGGAATTTGCCTTCTTTTCCTCGACCTTGGGATCATTCTTGGAAACTGCGTCACCATCACCGTGTTCAGGAGGAACCGGACACTTCGCTCACCAGCCGGGTGGATCATCGTAAACATTGCTGCATGTGACCTTGCCATTGGTGTCCTGGTCGGAGTGTTTGTTCTGCCATGCGTCTTCAGCGGTTACTTCCCTTTCCACGAGTCAATCATCCAGGTTGAGGGGGCGCTTGTTCTCACCTTCTTCGACGAAGCCGTGTACGGACTAACCTTAGCTGCTGTTGATCGATACGTAGCGATATGCCAGCCGTATCATTACGTCAGATTGTTCAGTGACACTAACCTTCTAGGAGTGTTTGTATTAACGTGGCTATACGCTGCCCTCGTTCCTGTCGTCTTCACGTTTACAAATGGCTTCAAGTACTATGACGTCAGATATGCGGTTGTTCCCGATTTAACAGCAAACATTCCATTTAGTATATACCTGATATGTTCTACCGTAGGAATCGGATTCGGTGTTATTATTTTTTGTTACGGTCGCGTGTGGTGGGAAGCTCACAAGAAGATGTACGCAGGACACGTACATTCCCTGCCCCCTAATTTGACCCAACAAATAAAGCTCGCATCGACATTAGTACTGTTAACTGTGCTCTACGTCATCAATTACGTGGGGTTTGTTGTTGTGGAATCTATGTCCATATTTGGCAGGGGTCACTTGATACCGGACGGAGTGTACGACTTAGTCTTTTTCTGCGCAGTCTCAAACAGTTTTTACAATGTCGTTGTCTATACACTCACTTACAGGCCGTTCAGGATGGCGTTCTTGAAAACGTTCTTCAAACAGTGGTTACGGAATTATGATCGGGGGGTGGCCCACGCTCCGCGTGCCAGACGGCCGCAAACTCTTCCTGCTTCCAACTTGGCCATCCTTACATCGACTCTCTGACTACTCCGGAACAGTGATGACGTCGCTTCGATCCCACTGATCTTCTCAGCCGGCACTTTGAGGAACCTATCATTCGGGTTACATCGGCTTATTCCGTCACATATAATACCTGGGGCAATAATGGCGTGATGGTGCACGTTTTCATACCGAAATACAGCATGCCGACCGATCCATTTTAGGACGCTTTTAGCCAGAGATCATATTATAGATTATATGGTCTCTGATTTTAGCATATCAATTTATTGGCAGCCCTGTACAATTACCGTTGAGCATTTTTGACATCCTCCGTATTGTTGTATGCAGCTCAATCTAGATGCAGTGTGTGGAGTTCGAGCTACGTACACTGTGTGGAGCTCAATCTAGGTTCAATGTGTGTAACTCCATCTTGATGTATGCAGCTCAATCTAGATACAGTGTGTGGAGCTCGAGCTAGGTACACTGTGTGGATGTCGTGTTCATGGAGATGAAGTGTTGTAGCAATGTCACCTTCACTGCCACTGGAACTCCGTTTACCCGGATCACGGGATAATGGTTAACCGAGCCTTCAATACTAAACATTAATCTAGAGATATTATATGTGCTTATTTGTTTTTTTTAAATATACCTGTATGATCAATTACCAAGTAGCATGTGTTTCTAAAGCAATATGTTTACCGTGTGGATATCTGTACGCATTATAACACGCCAAACCAGTCAAAATGCAATCTTAAATTCGGAAAATACTTTTGTTTCTTCCATAGAATCTCCATAGTTATCACACGAAGTATCAACAAATTTTGATCAAACGTTTGTTTGCGAATATTTAACGTAGCTTCCGAATATTAAAAGTATCTGTTAACTTACGTAGGTTAATCTACGAAAAAAGGGCCCAACCTTAGACAAACTGCAATAGAAATACATCCAAGTGTTTCTTTTCACTCATCAATGTTTGCACAATTACATATACATGATATAGTAACATGGGAATGGTGGATCATTATCAAAAACGTTTCTATGACAACATGCCCTGACAAATAATAGAAATCTTAAATGATATTGAAAAACCCTGAAGGATAACTGTCATAACTTGATTATGAACACATATGTTGTATGTAGCAGCTATAAGGTAACCACTTCTTTCTAAGGTCAAGATCAATAGCTATCACCAAGGTCAAAGTTTTGAGATTTTATACGACATGTGATAGGGGACAATATACAAGTTGTTGGAATATCAATAGCGGCAAATGTGAACAATGAAATATTGAAAAAACACAGTAGTCACACACACACACACACAAACATACACACGGGCTCTCTCACAGGTAGACACACACACACAAACAAACACAAACTTGCTCACATAGACACACACACGCTCACACACGCACCCACAAACACAAACATGCACATACGCACACTTTCACACGGACACACAAACATACACACACAACAAACACACAGACACGCACACACAAACATACACACACAACAAACACAGAGACACGCACACACAAACATACACACACAACAAACACACAGACACGCACACACAAACATACACACACAACAAACACAGAGACACGCACACACAAACACTCACACAAACATACATACACAGACACACGCACTGTCACACACTCTCGCACACCACACACATAAACACACAGAGACACACACCAACACAGAAGAAGACAAACACTCACAAACACACGGTCACACACAACACACGCACAACGCGCACACACTCGTGCATTGTTACGTTGAGGTAGGTCATGCATTCGGTAGAAGCTGCGCTTTGGTGATTCCACTATGTAATGATTAACTCGGGACCAACAGAACATGCTTCATGTGTGGGGCGGTCGGGTAGCCTGGTGGTTAAAGCGTTCGCTCGTCACGCCGAAGACCCGGGTTCGATTCCCGACATGGGTACAATGTGTGAAGCCCATTTCTGGTGTACCCCGCCGTGATATTGCTTGCATATTGCTAAAAGCGGCGTAAAACCACACTCACTCATATTTATGTTTGTGTATAAGCTGATTTGTTTATTCTGTACATCAATATCACCCATGCGTTTATTTTCTTGATTATAATATAACATTGAAAACCAGATAAATAAGTTGCAGTTCCAAGTATTAAAATCTTTCTCTCATGCCATCCCTTCCCACTTAAAGGTGCAATTGATGTTTACTTTAACAATATCGATTTTTGAAAGTCTGTCGACGAAAATTATATATTCTCAAATCTATTTTGATTATCTAAGCATGAATTATGTTTGTACCACTGGTTTGATTATGCATACGAAAAACAGAAAAAGAACCAAAAAAATTTGATTCGTACTGATTCAAATCTTGAAGGTAACATCAGAATTATCACCAACATTCAAGAAATTTTATTCATGTTAATCTAATTTATTAAATGAGACACAAATTAAATATGGGATTGGACAGATAATCCCGAAGCACTCAAAAAGACTTGACCCGTGAAGAACCGGGTTAGAATAGATCTTCAGCAACTCATACTTGCCGTAAAAGGCGACTCTGCTTGTCGTAAGAGGCGCCTAACGGGATAGGGTGGTCAGACTTGCTGACTTGGTTTATGCATGTCATCGTATCCAAATTGTGTGGATCGATGCTCATGATGTCAATCACTGGATTGTCTGGTCCAGACTCGATTATTTACAGACCGCGGTCATAAAGCTTGAATATTGTTGAGTGCGGCGTTAAACATTAAAGAAAGAAAGACAATAACACTTTTTTTTAGCCCAAACAAGTTATTTCTTATCTTCTTTTTCTCTCTTCTTTTTAAGATGTTACGTATTGTGTAGATACCTGCATGGTAGATATTTATATAATATATACCTGTAATGTAGATACTAAAAATATATATTTTTTGCAATTTGGTCAGGGTCAAAGTGACTGGGTCACAAGCAGGTGATATATTGATGCACGTGGAAGTTCACTTGTGTCCGTGAATGTTCACGGATGTGAAAGCCCATGAGTGTTGATATCTACGAATGTTCATGATGGACCACTGATGTCAGTGACATCCCATGGATGGCTATAAATGCATATCGATGTCACTGAGAGCCCACGGGGGCTCATCGATGTCCATGAATGTCCATGAATGTCCATGAAAGGTCTGGATATCGATGTCAACTGATGTCGATACTGCGCTTCGCTGTGGATTGACACCAATGGGCACTCGAGCACATGTTAAACATCTTGGATCCTAACAGACACACATGGAGCACATGTTAAACATCTTGGAGCCTAACAGACACACATGGAGCACCTGTTAAACATCTTGGAGCCTAACAGACACACATGGAGCACATGTTAAACATCTTGGATCCTAACAGACACCCATGGACATTCGAGCACATGGTAAACATCTTGGGTCCTAACAGACACCCATGCGCACTCGAGCACATGTTAAACATCTTGGAGCCTAACAGACCCACATGGAGCACATGTTAAACATCTTGGAGCCTAACAGACACACATGGAGCACATGTTAAACATCTTGGATCCTAACAGACACCCATGGACATTCGAGCTCATGTTAAACATCTTGGATCCTAACAGACATCCATGGACATTCGAGCACATGTTAAACATCTTGGATCCTAACAGACACCCATGGGCATTCGAGCACATGTTAAACATCTTGGATCCTAACAGACACCCATGGGCATTCGAGCACATGTTAAACATCTTGGATCCAAACAGACACCAATGGGCATTCAAGGACATGTTAAACATCTTGGATCCTAACAGACACCCATGGGCATTCGAGCACATGTTAAACATCTTGGATCCAAACAGACACCAATGGGCATTCAAGGACATGTCAAACATCTTGGATCCTAACAGACACCCATGGGCATTCGAGCACATGTTAAACATCTTGGATCCTAACAGACATCCATGGGCATTCGAGCACATGTTAAACATCTTGGATCCAAACAGACACCAATGGGCATTCAAGGACATGTCAAACATCTTGGATCCTAACAGACACCCATGGGCATTCGAGCACATGTCAAACATCTTGGATCCAAACAGACACCCATGGGCATTCGAGCACATGTTAAACATCTTGGATCCAAACAGACACCAATGGGCATTCAAGGACATGTCAAACATCTTGGATCCTAACAGACACCCATGGGCATTCGAGCACATGTTAAACATCTTGCATCCTAACAGACATCCATGCGCACTCGAGCACATGTTAAACATCTTGGATCCTAACAGACACCCATGGACATTCGAGCTCATGTTAAACATCTTGGATCCTAACAGACATCCATGGACATTCGAGCACATGTTAAACATCTTGGATCCTAACAGACACCCATGGGCATTCGAGCACATGTTAAACATCTTGGATCCTAACAGACACCCATGGGCATTCGAGCACATGTTAAACATCTTGGATCCTAACAGACACCCATGGGCATTCGAGCACATGTTAAACATCTTGGATCCTAACAGACACCCATGGGCATTCGAGCACATGTTAAACATCTTGGATCCTAACAGACACCCATGGGCATTCGAGCACATGTTAAACATCTTGGATCCTAACAGACACCCATGGGCATTCGAGCACATGGTAAACATCTTGGATCCTAACAGACACCCATGGGCATTCAAGGACATATTAAACATCTTGGATCCTAACAGACATCCATGGGCATTCGAGCACATGTTAAACATCTTGGATCCTAACAGACACCCATGGGCACTCGAGCACATGGTAAACATCTTGGATCCTAACAGACACCCATGGGCACTCGAGCACATGTTAAACATCTTGGATCCTAACAGACACCCATGGGCACTCGAGCACATGGTAAACATCTTGGATCCTAACAGACATCCATGGGCATTCGAGCACATGTTAAACATCTTGGATCCTAACAGACACCCATGGGCACTCGAGCACATGTTAAACATCTTGGATCCTAACAGACACCCATGGGCACTCGAGCACATGTTAAACATCTTGGATCCTAACAGACACCCATGGGCATTCAAGGACATGTCAAACATCTTGGGTCCTAACAGACATCCATGGGCACTCGAGCACATGTTAAACACCTTGGATCCTAACAGACATCCATGGGCACTCGAGCACATGTTAAACATCTTGGATCCTAACAGACACCCATGGGCACTCGAGCACATGGTAAACATCTTGGATCCTAACAGACACCCATGGGCACTCGAGCACATGTTAAACATCTTGGAGCCTAACAGACATCCATGGACATTCGAGCACATGTTAAACATCTTGGATCCTAACAGACACCCATGGGCATTCGAGCACATGTTAAACATCTTGGATCCTAACAGACACCCATGGGCATTCGAGCACAT